AAAGGAGGTCCTATTGATTTTTTTTTTCTGCTAATTTTTTAAAATTATTTTAGATATTATTTTACAAATTTAGATCTATATTTAAAAAAAAACTTTTGGTTGCTTTGTTTTTATTATTATTGTTTTTATATTAGATGTTCCTCTTAGTGATGTTTTTATTTTACAAAATTTACAAATTGCTTTTAAACCAATATTTTAATCAATATCCAAATAATCCCAAAGTTGAATTGCAGTTGCTTTGCTCATTGTTCTAATTTTATTATGACTTTTTATTATTAATTTTATTATCTATTAAGTTAATCTCTAAAATATAATTCGAAAATTACATTAGAAATAATCACAAAAACAGTTAGAGAAATGTTTGAGACTTTTTTTAGATACTTTGTATTTCCTAATGAGCGGCCGGGGCGCAAAAGTTAGCGCGCTTGCCTTAGAGCAGGGTTCGAAGAGCCTTGAATCCAGGGTTTGAAGCGAGCTCTGGGCATGTTTTGCGCGATCGTTAAGGAAGGAAACGTGAACTTCCTAGTTAAATTCTCTTTCGCGGTGACTTGTGACAATAGCGTTAGATCTTCCGCGGTGACTTGGTTCCTTGTGACAATAGCGTTAGATCTTTTCGCGGTGACTTGGTTCCTTGATACAATAGCGTTAGATCTTTTCACACATCGAAAAACGCTCTTTTCACACAGTGAATCAACTCATACAATCTAGCTGGAGAATTCATAAAATCAATTAGTAGATAATCTCATGATATTTCTGAGTACTCCCTAGAGAAAAATTCCAAGCATTAATAAGTACACGCGTTTTTAAGTGTTGAATCATTAGCGTTTAAGCGTCACTTAAAGATAAACATTTTTGTAAAAAAGTAAGCTGCAATTTCGCTGTGTAACAACGTATAATTAATTTATTGAGAATAATAATAAAAATTTGTTTATCTGACTACAATACCACAAAATGATTTCAATAACTAAACGAACAGATTAATTACCAATTTAAAAATTGTAATCAATTATTTTTTTAGGTTCAAAAAAATTAAAATGAATTTGGATCATTGTTTTAAATTGTTAATAGCTTTGTTGTTTATATCTTATTTGGCTGTAGCCATGATTGAAAATACAAATGAGACAGCCATTGTGACAAAGGCTTCTTTGCTCGAAAAATGTGATCGTCTTGATTGTTTAAGTCCATCACGTTTAAATTGTAAAAAAAAAAAATGTAACCAAAAATGCTCCGATTTATCCAATCTTTGCTACCTTGTTTGTAACAAAATGAACCTTAAATGCGATCAAAATTGCGAATGGAACAACTGCAAGCAGTTATGCGAAACCAAAGAATGTAAGATGATTTGTTATCATACAAATAAATGTATCCAGATAGCTGGTGCTATTAATAAATATGGAAGTCACCATCTTAGATGCACTACTAATTCATTGGAAGTAAGTTTTTTAATTTTAAAAATTTACATTTTATTTTTTACACTTTTTTAAATTACTAATTTTTTTGTTGAAGAACTTACAAAAATGTTTTTATAAATTTCACGAAATGTACTCAATTTTAAAGATTAAATTCAATGTATAACTTACAAACAAGTATCAATAAAATTTATTTTAGGGAGGAGGCTTATTATTTTATCTTGTGTAATGTATTGATAATAAACTTAAAGAATGTTCAATTTTTAATTATTTAATTTGCCTTATAGACTTATGAGAAACTAAGAAAACGGCATTTAATATATATATCCCGGAATAATGGGTTTTCTCGCGCCCTCTCTGTTAGCGCAGCGTTATTCAGCGAGGATAAGTTGATTAGGAGTTGCCAGCATGTCACACGTCATCAGCGGGCAATCATCAATTGAACAAGACTTGTTGATCAAATAAATTTTTTTATTACAAACACTCTCTGTAAAGTTAACACTATAAACATAATAGGATGCAAAAAATATTTATCTTTTTTAATGTTTTTTTTTTTACACATTTGTTAACTTTCTTATTTATATTTTCTAAATATTTTTTCTGATCATTGACTAAAAAAATTGCTGAAAAACAGCTGAAAAAGTTTAACGTAATTTAACAAGTTGAGCTTGTCAAAGCTTTTGTTGGTAAACTAGCTAGAAAATTTTAACATTATATACAACTTCAAGGCTGCAACCACTAAATGTTGGGGTCATTCAAAATTGATTTTATCTTTTATAAATTCAATTTTCAGAGATATAGAATGTCTTGTGGATAAAAGGTCAGATTTGACCAAATAATTTTTCCACCAAAAACAAGTCAAAGCCAAGGCGAAGAAAAACTGCTGAATCACTGGTTTTGGAATCATATGCCTGTTTATATGAGCTATGGCCTGAAAAGCCATCAAATCCCCACTTTGAAATTAATTGAAGATGGTCTAATTCTTCATTCTAAAGAGTCCTAACAACAGGCTCAACAGCTAGAAGTAAGTAAGTAGTGTAGATAGTATCAACTTTATTTAAAGTAACTCTTTACCAATTCAAACAAAAACAACAACAACAACAACAAATTTAAAGATAAAAACTACGATTTTAAAAAGTACAAATGTCTTAACTCTAGTTTTTTTTTTTATCTCTCGTTTTTTATCTTTATCATCTTACTGCTATCATTTGGTTTATGTTGGTCGTTAACTTGATTTAATACTAAAAAGCATTAAACTGGATATTATTAATAGGGTCCGGCGAATATTCGTTAAAATTCGGATTACGAAGTTTACTGAAAGGCAAAGTTGACTTAGGCTTCGATTTAGGTGCCGAAGTTGAAATTGAAATTCGGCTTTCAGTTAAATTCGGTAACAATTTCAAAATTTCATTCAACTTTCAGTTAAATTTGAAAGCGATAAAGTTTTTTTCAATTTATAAAGAAGAATTGAAAAATATATTATACGTTTTATGTATATCAACCTGTTTCTATTCATTACAACCCTCTTTCAGAGTTGAGAGAGAGTTGTAACCAACATAAAAAGTAGTTCCTCGTTTAAAGTGGCTCACTCAACTTTGGAAACACGAATTGGGTAAAAATAAAAAATCGTTCATGTTCATTCAAAAATATTGTAAAGATTGTTGTAAAGATTCCATAACTTAAATTTTCATCATTTCTGAATTTTTAGATTTTTTATTTTGACGCAAATTTTTTTTTTGTAAACGTATACTTTTTTAACAAATTAAAATTTACTTACTATATGTTCTATATATTTATGTTCTATATTGAGTTTTAAATTATGGTTAATTACAAGCTAAAAAATAATAACTTTAGTTGATAAAAAATGATTATACAGCAACCGCTGAGCAGCGGTTGGAGCGCTTGTTTTAGAAACAATAGACCTAGGGTTCGAAGCAAACTTTGGGCATATTTTGCACCATCGGTAAGAAAAAAGGTTTGAACTTTCTAGTTTAATACTTTTCTGATATATTCCGTGGAAAAACTGTTAGATCTCTTCGGAACATTTGAAGCAAAATAAAAAAAAAAAAATTTTTTTTAAAACTTAAAAAATCTTAAAAAAATTTATTTTTTAATTAAATGTGTTTTTAAAATCCAAATTTGGCTTTTAATTGAATTCTAGTTACATATACGGCTTAAATTCGGCTTTCAATTAAATTCGGTATACGCATTTAATCTAAATTCGTCTTACATATAACTTCGAGTCTTAAAAAGTTGACATCGCTGGTGCCTAATATATATTAAACCTAAGCTAGTTATTTAATATATTTAAATCATTCGATACAAAATAACATGCAAAATAAACACTTTCAAGATAAAATACTAACGCCATTTTATCTTTGACTGTTAGCACTAATTACCGATACCTGGACTAATTGTAACAATTCCGATATTTAATTGTAACAAGTCTTATAGCGCTAAATTTATTTTTACTTTTTTAACTTTTTTTTTTTGCGTTTAGTTACAACATAGTCAATAAAAGACAGTAAAGTTTTGAACTAAAAGTTTTTATTTAAAGTTGTAATGACAGCATTAGATAATTTTTTAAATAGTAAAATGTCTTCCCTCCCTCATTTGTTGATATTTTAAGAGTTGATTTGTAATACATGATACAGTGCTTTGGCTAGCCAAATAGAAGTTTCACTTGACAGTTTAACAAAATTATTAAACGTAATTCTTGATAAAAAGTTTCATTTCATTTTTAATTTTACAGGGATGTGTTCAAGAGTGTATTGGGAAGTGCAATGTGCTATGTAATAGCAAAGGTGCATGTATGCAAACAATAACAGCGGTACCATATTGTGGAGGGTTAGAATATAGCTTAGCCGAATGCAATTCTGATATGTCGTGTCTTCAACACTGCAATGGTCAGTTATGTGTCTTTATTTGTGACTCTCCGGTATGCCAAATCAGTACAAGCGGTTTAGCCATAGTATTTTTCTTTATGTCTCCGCGAGTTAAAAAGGTAACATTGCACTGCAATAATCAAAAAATATCATGGAATAATTGGAACAACACATACAGTTACCGAATGTGCTATTGTATGGATGAATTAAGTGTTGCTTTGATTAACGAAAGCCCTCCGGAGTGCGAGGAGAGTTCTTCTTATCAGGTCCCATCTCATATTCAACAATTAGAGAAAAATAGATCTGATTTAATTTCAGAAGAATCTCAAAATTCAACACAGGATCCTTTAGAAAGTTACTCTTTACTATTAAATCTAGAAGAAGAATTAAATAAAACTATATCAACATTAAATAATGTAACTGCTCTATCAAATGCATCTAAACTGATAAAGTACAGTTTTTGGTCAATGTTTTATTTAAAATGCGTTTTGTTTATTAATTTGATAAAGTTTTTTATTAACTTAGGGAATTAAACGAAGTTATATGAGCCTAATAACTTGTTTTACTTGTAACTTGTTTTGTTGTAGTGTTGTAGAAAAACGGATTTTTGATTTTTAAAATTTGTTATACTTCGTCCACTTCATTTTTTGTCGAAGTATTTTTATCATTGCTTTTTATGTAAATACCTTTAATTTTATGTTGCAAGATTTTTATTAAAATAAACACTTTATCTTGAACTATTTGTTTTGACTTCTTGTTGATTTCTTTATCTAAACTGATAAAATGCAGTTTTTAGTCAATGTTTTATTTAAAATGCGTTTTGTTTATTATTTGATAAAGTTTTTTATTAACTTAGGGAATTAAACGAAGTTATATAAGCCGAATAACTTGTTTTACTTGTAGCTTGTTTTGTTGTAGTGTTGTAGAAAAACGGATTTTTGATTTTTAAAATTTGTTATACTTCGTACACTTCCCTTTTTGTCGAAGTATTTTTATCATTGCTTTTTATGTAAATACCTTTTATTTTATATTACAAGATTTTTATTAAAATATATATTTTATCTTTAACTATTTGTTTTGATTTCTTGAATTATTAAACTAACTACAAAATAGACAGTGTATGAACAAAGATAAAAAATGACTAAGGACCGGAATTCACTTCATTAGCATATATTCTCTCATGGTAAAAGACCATATTTGTTTAATTATGATAAATAAATAAAAAATTTAAAAATCATTAAAACCTCAGGAAAGTTCATTTTTGAAATCAAATGATGATATTAAAAGTTTCTGACACGTACTAAGCTGACTTGTTGGCTAAACACGTTATCTGTTTTTTAAGAATATCTCAAAATGAAAATTTTGCAGTTACTGTCTATATTTTAAGTAAGGCAGTATTATTAAATGAAATCGAGTTTTTCACGCAGGCAAATATTACATTCATGCAGATTTTATAAGCATTCAACAAAAATCAACTTAAACTAATTGTGCTAATGCAAAGACTGAACAATATCTTGTTTAATAAACATTGCCGGCCTGCTTCGGTTAGGACTTGATAAAACTTCTGGGAGCACCTTAGCAACATAAAAATAAGGTAGTTCAGGAGTTGCAGTTGAATGTAAAGCGACCGTTTGGAGGTATCTAATCAAACTCACAAAATCCAGATTTCTTTGTTCTTTAACGTGAAAAGATAAAGCTATCAACATCAGGCTTGAGGAAACGGAGCCGGGAAGCCGCTGTTTTATGGTTGAGCAGGAGCCGCAAAAATCGAGCGACTCTCGGCTCTCGAGTTTTTATTTTAATGAATGTTTTTTTTTTTACTGTCGACAAACTTTGTTCATTTATTGTTTTATTGCTTAACTGATTTGTTGAATGAATTATTTATTGAGTTAATGTTTTTTTAAAATATTTTTTCTAACAGTTGTGGTCTTGCCAAAACAAAATAAAAATAAATATTTTAACAATTTTGTGCTCAACAAATTACTATCCTTTAATTGTATTTCTTAATACGCTTTATTAAAAAAAAGGAAATTGTTTATGAAAACATTACAGTATTGCATAAAATTGCTTTATATGGGACCATCCATAAAGCACGCCCCCCTCCTTGATCCGGCACTGAAATTTCAGAGTTTTTCAAAGATTTAATTTTGCAAGCAATATGCAGCTGTGGTTTGAGATCTTTTGTCACATCGTCAACTTTAAACTTGGATATTTTCATCAAAGAATACTTGCAAGCTAGAATTTTGCAATTTTATCGAAGTCACGATGTCCCCTGTTGATTCTGGTGATTGGGTATCCAGTGGGGACGGGACTCAGTGAGGACATAAGAAAGACGTCTTTTAAACATCTTTTGAATATTTTCGACGCCTTTTGAATGTCTTTGGGACTTTCAAAAGACGTCTTTTTTAGGTATCGTGCCCCTGAGTAAAATTAGAACTAAAAGCTCTAGTTTTGGGTAAATAATATATAGAAAAACGTTTTTACTTAAAGCATTTTTCTTTTCAAATATAATATTCGGTAGTAGAGTAGTGATAGTAATACAATAACTTTGTAATCATAAGAGTTGGTAAAAAATTAGTTGCTGTAATTGGTTTAGTTTTGAGTTAACAAATGTGATCAAAAAAAATATTCCAAGACTTGCGATTTTTGTTCATAAAGTTTGGGAACAAACTTTATGAACAAAGATTTTTGTTCAAAAAGTGAGCTTCACAAGCCTGATCAACATCTCCTTTAAATTTGCATTATTATCACGCAGGGAATCAAATAAAAAATTTAAAATTGCATTAGCAATTACCCAGATAACACAAAACGTTTAACAAACGTTTTGTGAATTAAGCTTATCACTGATCAATTTAATAGTTTTTGTTGATAGCATTGTTGCAAACTTGGATTCTTAACACTCCAAGTGATGAAAACCTTTATTATGATGTAGATTTAAGTTCATATATCTTCTGTTTTTTACTGAAGTATGATCATCAAATGAAAGACTAAATTTATGATTGTTTTCAAGTTTCATTTTCAATGAACTTATAATTTCTTTCTTGACTAACATGAAGTATTTAATGACAAAAATGCGAACGGTTTGAGGACTTCGAGAGATTCGGTATCCCTGGGCACTAAATGCTGGTCGCAAAGTTTCACTTTTAGCAATGGTATAAAAGCTGATTCCATCAATAGGTGACTAGTCGACTTAAAATCTCAATAGTTGATTTAAAATTTCAGATAGAATTTTAAGGTCATCTTTGAAAAAACTTTTCAAAGATGATCTTTTCGGGCGCAGAGTTATTGTATTTAAGATTATTAATTATGTGTTTTGTTTTTAAATGTCTTATAATAGCTGTTGTTGCTGAGACAGGTGTTTTATGAATAATTTTACAGAGTTTACACTTTGAACTCTGTGATTCTTCGGAACAATAGCAAGAAATCCAAACCAGTCACAGCGAGATCTAGCAAGAAAATTCAAGACTTCTTGATCTTATATTAAAAAAGTACTAAAAAATGCTGGAATTAAAGCATTTAGTTAAAAAAGTACACCTAAATAGTGAAATTAAAGGAATTCGAAGAGCAAAGAAGTTGGTTAAAATAATGACGGATAAAAGTATGTGCATAACTGAAGACAACAAAACATATTGCAAGGCGGATTTTTCGAAACTTGCTAGTCAACAATTTTACTATGAGAACTAAGATAAACCTGAATTCGAAGAAAAAAATTTGCATCAAAGTTCCTTGTGTGGCAAGAAATTTGTAGCTGTGGTATGCAGCCCTCTTGCTTTGTCACTAAGAAAAACTTGACTGCGAATCTCTACATCAAAGAATGCCTTTAAAAAGACTTTTGCCATTTATGAAAAAACACAAATACCGATATCTCTTTTAGCCAGATCTTGCTGCCTATCACTAATCTAAAAAAATTCTACAGGGGTGCAAAGAAAATAATGTGAAAATTGTTCCTAAAGATGCGAATCCTCCAAATTGTCCTAAAGAGCGCAAGATTGAAGATTTTTGGACAATAGTCAAAGGAGTTCTTCGTAAGACAGGTGGAGTAACAAATAATATGGACTTCTAAAAAAAGTGGATATGTGCCACCAATAAGGTGAAAAAAGAAAAAATCTGCAAAATGATTGCATCAACCCGCTATAAAATTCGATCTCTTGCCAAACAGCCCATTAAGACCTTTAAAATTAAGTTGAAACTCTAATTTATGTAAACACATTTAATAATAAAAATTTTGATTTAAAAAGCATTTATGGTTATCTTTAAATTGAGAGAAATCTCAATTTAAAGTTGACCGGATTTTTTCCGTGTCCACCCGATATTCGGTTAAAAAACTTTATTAATGAAAGAAATGGAGCTGTATCAAGCGTAAAAAGCAAAGAATCATTCTTTAATAGATCAGATTAAGTTATGTAATACCGCCGAATTAAACAATTTCTGCCAGCGAAACTCTGAGGAAATATATATTTTCCATAAATTGTTTGTTACAGCCGATGGTTTTATAGAAGCTGCAGCAAGTAATAGCTTGGCAAGGTTGTATGCTGATAAACTTATAGACAAAAAAGCGTATTCCATGGTGTTTGTTAGGTAATATCTTTTTTATAGTTTTTATTGATTTTTAGCTAAGCAGCGCAGTGAATGAACAGATATTTTTGAGTTAGATTTGCTTTATTAAAAGAACTTCTTAAAGAACTTTTAATAAAGCAAATCAAAAAGTACACTAGCACCAGCTCTTAGAAAACTTTGTGCAATTGAATTATCCAAGAAGAAAAATATCTTTACCTTCTTGTATAATTCTGTTTTTGTATAATCCAATTTTTCGTCTCGGACATTCAAAATGTGTTTTTCGATCAGAACGATTTGCTTTTTTGTTAGGTATCTCCAATGTCGCATATACTGCATTTGAGGCTAAGAAGTCTAAAGTTGATGTTATTTTGGCTGAAGCATTAAATATTTCTCAATCTGGTGTTTGGTCATCTTTAGTTTGTATGATGTCTATCTCAAATATTTTAAAAGTGTATTTTTATTTGTATAATATAACATTTAAGATGATATGAGTTTTATTGTTTTATAATATGAACATTAATGTCTATATATATATATATATATATATATATATATATATATAATATATATATATATATATATATATATATATATATATATATATATATATATATATATATATATATATATATATATATATATATATATATGTATATATATATATATATTATATATATATATATATATATATATATATATATATATATATATATATATATTTAAATTCCTTTACAATTTTTTTACACTACTACAGGAGATGTCTGTCTATTTACATTTGTCTAGAGTACCTATTTAGAAGTACCCATAGTCTTTTAAGAAATTCGATAAACCCAATCAAATAATTTACTTGATGCTGTACAATGTTGACACAAAAAAAGAAATTCCAAGCAACCTTACACATCTGGTAAAAATGCTTTTTTTCAAACCTAACCACTATGTGCCTCTGATATCTGTTAAAAACACTCAACCAGAATTTCGAAATATTTTAGTTCGTACTCAAAAACGTTTAAATTCTGCAAAAAATAATGCTGTAACCGGAAAAAAACGCACTTCAAATACCCAATTTCAAATACCCTACTGTTCTGCTATTGAAAAAAATTAATTTGCAACTCAATAAGTTTCTATCTGATAATATTTCTAGAAATCGAC